TCTCAGTTGGGTAGCAAGATTGCAGTACTTGAGTAAGGCATCTGTTTTGTTTTTTTTGTAAGTGGCAAACCAATTCATCGTTACTGAATATCATCACTTCTATAGTGTGAAACCCAAAATACTGCTACACACTGTTTTACTGATGCTCTGGTGTTGTTATTATCTGATCAGCATGATTTTACTCACTACGATCCTGCATTTTGTCCTTGCAAACATAATATTACTAGCTGACTTTATTGATAGAGCAACAGGAACATGTCAAGCTGTAGTGAGGTTTAAGAGCACCCTCTGCTGGAACACAAGGCAAATTGCATCAAATGGCCTGTTGCACTTAGTGGCATTTTTGGATTGAACCTGCCCATTACAATTACAATTACAATTACAATTACAATTAATTTGAATTTTTTTGGTATGCACAGAACCTGCATGGTATGAGCAGTGTGCAGACTAAACTGTCTTCCTTTCACTGACTGTCTCAACCAACATTCAGCAGACACACCAACCAATAAACATAATACATGGTAATCAGCATTTTTACATGCTGTTTCTGGGGTAAAACAGACTGTGTGTCTGTGTGTAAAAAAAGAAGAAGTATGTCTCTTTGTCTCATGCGTGTCAGGCATTCCAATTTATAAACATCTATTTGCACACAGCACAACCATTTCAGCCATTGTTTAACAAGGGACAATGCACTCGTTGAGTATTATGCAAGCAACAGAGTGGCACATAAAAGGCTGTGCTCTAGCCATTCAGTGGGAGCCAGTCACAGCCCCGGTCCAGGCCCTATTATTTCCCAAACATTTCATGAACTGTCATTCCCCATCAAGTCTCCAGATGTTTCCAGGCTTTCACTCTGGCTCTTCCAAGCACATTTACTGCAGTGCTACAGCACAGCAAGGTGCTGTCCAGGGGAATAAAAAAGGGAAATTTGCTTTAAATACTGTATCTTTAAAATATACCAACTTCAATTAGCTTAGTGGGACAGCTGAAGCTACATTTGAACCTCAGACAAACTTTGGAGTGCATGTTTTTACAGAATGAGAGTTGTGTAGTTTGACACTCATTTTTTTTTTGCAATGTAATCACGTTCCAGGTGGAAACATTCTGGGTCCGTGTGAAAAGTAGGAGAAGTGACAATGATCAAGACATACCATTCTCATGTACATAGGGATACATCAATATTGTTTTAACACCATCTTGAAAAATCGAAAACTATTCCTTTAATGCTTTAAAGCTGCATTACCTAAGATTTAGCACAAATTTGGAAAAATCAAGTAAAAGAAGTGTTTTTTTTCTGCTGTACTAACCCCCATACCACCCCGCTCTGCTATCTTCAGAGTCCTAAGTTTATTTCTACCCCTGTTGTTAAAATCCGCACCACATTTCTTCTATGCCACCGCTGAGCCGAGGTTATAAGATGCATTTTTCAAACCAATATGGCTCATTTCAAAGATGGACCATGGAGGCTTCCTGTGCAGGTCCAACCCAGGATGGGAGTGGACCTGTTAGACCCAGGAGGCTGCATTATGTAGCACAGAAAGAGTGCGGCAAAGAATGAGACAAAACCAGGGTTAACATCGGTTTGTCATGTCGGAGATAAAGAGCATTAAAGCATCCTAAGGACTAAATTTTGAAATAGATAGTAGCTAGTAGATAGTAGAATAATAGCTTTCTGCCTTTTAGAAGTGTAACTGCTGTAGCTGGCCTATGTGTATACATCGGCGTCATTAGAAAGCTAACGTTAGCATTTCAATTTTGTACCTCTGTATTGAATTTTTCTGGTTGTAATTTGCAGTCATTCCAACTGAGCGTTGGTGTTTTGTTGTCCAATTAGCAGAAACCAGCGCATTTCCTGGATTAGCAAATGAAGTAATTTTGCTAATTTTTGCTTGGTTTTGGTCCAGTTTATGTCATACACAAAATAACAGACCATGTAGCATTTCAGTGAGACCTTGTTAAAATGTATGCCATCAACACAACTAGAAAAGTGGGGAGTTCAACTATCAAAGCGTAACATGAAATTTATCGTTTCACATAGAACTCACGGTTAAGTGTGTCAAGTATGTAAAGCTGAACGTGATGCTATAGTGGCCAGAACATTAGTATTGTATCAGTATTACTGGGAAAATTTTTCTCTGTATAATTTGCCTGTGTTACTGGAGATACATCACCTACAAGCAACCTTAGACATGCCCATGAACATTGCTAAAATGTAAATTTCTTTACTTGGCATTGTGTCGCTGCAATGCCACCAAAACCACAGGCTCTATGTTCTGTGTACATTACTTCTGGAGCTGGTTATTACTGCTGTGCTACCTGACTGATATGACTGTCTCTGTTTTCACAGACAGGGTAGGAGGGGCAAAGAGGAGAGGAGGGAGAAGAGGATGGGATACTGCCTGAGTTTGTTTTGTCTCTCACATTTCAAAATTATTGGGAGAAGTTATTTAATGCAACTTTAAAGAAAGTTGACTGAGGGCAACATTTTGTTCATATCATACTACTGTAGTGTCAACGCCAGGTCTGACCTTTGCTTGCATCAAATCTCAAACACATTGATGGACACTCTCAGGAAGAGGATGGCAAGGATGAGAATGCCATCACTCTACTGTACCATATGATGCCAGTTCTGGTCTGCATCTCAGTCTCTCCCCTCAGTATGGTCAGATGGTTACTTTTAAACCACTTCATATGACTTTAGCAACAGATGCTAGCATACGTTTACAAATGTTTCGCTTTCCAGTCACACAAAGAATATATAAGGCTGAAGTGAAACCAGAACCTTCTGTTTTATAACCATCCATCCATCTATCCATATATACCATACATCCAGTATCTTTGTATTTGAAGGATTAAAGTATTGGTGCTTTCAGGTGTATCTGTTCAACACAGCTTTTTGAGAAAACAGAGACAATATTTATTTCACAGTTTGTGATATTACATGATTTAACATGACAAAAAGAAAGTTCTAAGATAAATTATAAAATTACACTCACAAAATCAAATCCAAAACAGTATCAGCTGCTACAGTCTCAAATTGTAATTTAATGCCAAAGAAAGCAACTGCAACATCCATAGGTCTGACCCAGATGGACACTGGTTATATGCTTGTCAGTCTTTCTCTTTGCACATTTTCTCTCACTATAGTGTCAACTATCAAAATAATGTTTTATTTAACATAAGACACTTTTGTTTAGAGCTGAAGCAGTCAGTCAGTTGATCAAGAGGAAACTAACATGCAACTATTTATAATTGGTTAGCATTTTACTTGAAAAGATGCCAAAGTTCTTCTAGTTTAAGCTTCTCAAACAGGACAATTTGCTGCTGTTCTCTCATTGTGGCAAAATGAAAATTTTAGGCATGTAGGACTGTTGGATATAACAAACAGTTTTAAGATGGGGGAATTCATTGGCTCCCAGTTTTTTAAAGGTTTTGTTTGCTTATAATGAGTTAGCCCTCTGGGTTTCTAAACTTTGATCCCTTGACCAGATGCTCTTAGTCACTATGAGAGCTAGCTCAAAGGGGACTGTGCTGTTGCGATTACAGCCCCTAAACTGTGGAACACTTTACTCCTCCATGTTAGAGCTGCAACAACATTGGCATCCTTCAAATCTCAACTAAAAACTCTTTTTTTTCCTCCTCAGCTTTCTAAACATGATAGCGTTACTCCTCCTTGAATGTGCTCTTATGATGTGTTGTATGTCAGTTTTATTCCCTCCTTTTCATTGTTCAACAGCATTTTGACCAACTTTTTTTTAGTAAACAAAAATAAACTGACTGGACTTTAGTTCTTTTTCCTGGCATTTTCTACAAAACTCTTTATTGTTTATTTTAGAAGCCTATAAGCCAGTTAAAACTAACTCTCCCTTTAACTAACTTTCCAGCTGCAATATTAAATGTGATGTACACAATGTAATGCATCAATAAATAAAATCTTAATAATGTGATATACATTAATGTTAAATTTACCATTCATACCTGATTACTTTTACTTTTTTAGTACTTTCATTTATTTTGATGCTAATGCTTTTGTATTTTTAAGTAAAATATTGAATGCAGGGCTTTTACTTGTAACACTACATTGTTATATTACAACTTTTACTTAAGTAAAGGATCAGAGTACTTATTCCACCACTGCTTCAACTTTAAGGGAAATTTAAAAGGAGACTGAGGATGTTCATACTCCAGTAGCATTTCCACATTAATGTACCTACAGTGCATTTATTATCCTCAAACACAGTACATTCAGTCACAGACCCTGCCAGAGAGAAAAGACAAGCATAGATCGAACAATGTGGGGGGTGGGGGGGGGTTCGGTAATGTGGCAGAAGGCTTAGTCCCTATAGAACATCACACACTAACGGAATCTGGTGCATAGGCTTTGTACCGTCAGAAAAAAAAACCTTTATATAACAAGACCTTGTCGCTCTGGAGCTGCACTTGCCTGCCAAATAAAAACACTCCAATAGTAAATACTCTATTATTATACTGTATTATCATTAAAGACCACAAACCATCACTGTAGTTGAAAATAGAAATATTTAGGTTGAAGAGGCCGTTTAAAATAGCATTGGTTGCACCGAGGCCTTGATACAGCCATGCATCATTACAAATGAGCAGCTCATGTAGAGATATTGTAGGAATGTTTGTGGAGTAGCAGCCTAGAGGTTTTCAGCAGGCGGGTGTACCATCCTGACCGCGGCACCACCAAGACACGATTTCACGGACCTCTGCATGAGACCGAGAGCCCTCACACGCCCACTGTGCTTCATCACTGTGATGACAAACACTGTGCACAGCGATGCCTGAGCGCTAGTCCGCCTTATAAAAAAGCTAAATATAGGCCCATATCCATGCTGCGCGAGACCACAGCAAATGTCATTCAAATTTTATCTTTCTATCATAAACACAATGATGGCGCCGCACAAGGATGGAGTAAAGGACGACAGCCGCATCATAAATCAGAAATATTAAATTATAAAATGACGTATTATACTCACCGTTTCGATGTTTCCGTCGCTGACTGTATATATGCGTAAGACTGTCAGAGTGTGATGGTGAAAATCTCTCCACCTTTCGTTGCTTGCAGAGCAGACTGCTGGCAGCAGACAGGCCCCACCTCCCTCCCATCCGGCCCAACCAAACAGGAGACGCGAGCCATAAAGAGCCTTTCTCCTCTAAATACGCACGCATCTGGCCTGCTGATGCCTTCACGTCCCATGTTGTGGTACTAAACACCTTGGACTTGGACTTGATTACCCTTAGCATTTGGTAATGTTTTGATTTGTTCACAGCATAACTCAAAAAAGTAATGAGAGGTGGAGGTAGGGTATGGCCCACAAAAGAATTCATTCAATTTTGGTGCTGCTCTGGATAACCATCTTGATACAAGCATTTTTTAAAAGGATTCTTCAACATTGTGACACTGGGCTAATTTCAATATTTGCCTTCTAACTCAATACACAGTGCCCACAGTGTTTGGACAAAAACTGCAAGACAACATCCACATAAGATCTCCCACAAAGTATAATCTGGATCTAAGTAATATTCCGGATGTGGTGATGCAGAATGTTCAAATTTACAGAGCTCAGGGAAAACTCTCTACAGCTAGACAACAAATAGCCTAATGACAGCAGCCCCCCCCAAAACAGTTTATACATTTGCATATTGAAATCATATTTGAGAGCAAAACTTTGGTTCTACAATCAAAGTAAATGTTTTTGCAGGTCAAATGTAAACTGATGGAAATCAAAACTATTTTCATTGCAAACAAAAAAAGTTTTTTTTTCTTTGTTTGCAGCTTGTCTGTTTTGGTTGCTTGCCTATAAGGGTGGCTGTGGCTCATGAGGTAAGGCAGTCGTCTCCTGACCAGCAAGTTGGTGGTTTGACTCCCGGTCTCCCCGCATGCCTAAGTGTCCCTGAGCAAGACACTGAACCCCGAACTGCTCCCGGTGGCTTGACTAGCACCGGTGCATGGCAGCCTGTCGTCATCGGTGTGTGAATGTTGTGTGTGAATGGTGTATGATCTTCTGTAAAGCGCTTTGGCCAGTGCAACACACTGTGAGAAAGCGCTATATAAAATACAGTCCATTTACCATAAGCTTTGCTCTGGGTGCACAGGATTTTTTGATTGCAGAGCCGAAGACTGGTTGTGAATGCAGTCAAAATCTTTCAGTTGCATGTCTGATTACATACAAAGGGAGGGGTGAAGCATAAAACTGCATATCTATTGGGCAGTGATGCTGAAGTGGCAGCTATAATGAGCCAGTGACTTTGGCTGGAGGTCTTTGGCCTTTACTATTATTTATTCTGTCATGTTCCAGGGGACTGACTTGCACTGAAGCCGCTCATAGACAAAACTGTGTAAGCTCATATGGAATGCCATTACATTGCTTTTAAGGTATGAAACCAGTTTGTTTATGTTTAGGTACAAATTTAGGCATCTAACATATTTATTACTAGTCCAGGATTATCAGTTAATAACAGCAGCACTGTCAACATAAGTGACTCCATTTCTGGCTGAGACTCTGCTGAGTCAGTTGAGTGTCAACAGATTCGACATATCTTTAAAAGTTACTGAACTTGATACAGAAGAAAACCACCATTACTGAAATATTGTTTTCTTAAATAACTTGAAAAATGGCATAAGAAAAGGAAAAGTGAGATGAGGGTCAAATCATCATGGGAATGAGGGGACAGTGGACTGCCTTGGTGGAGGTTTGCACTCTCTGAATACTGTCTAGTGTATTTATGCATTTGTAATGTACTAAAATGACAGCATGTATGTCTAGCATTTACTAAAGATGTTTCAGAAATAAGACAGAAACTACTTGTACTTTGAATCAGTACACTTGGTTGCAGTTAGCTTTGAGTCTTCTGGAGTATGTCTTGCAAATCTGTCAAGCTCGGTCAGATTGAATGGGAAACATCTGTGCATGTGCACGAGGACATATTTTCAGTAGGCAGAGCTGCCTGGGATACACCCACATACACAAAAGCAGCCAGGCAAATTAGAATAAAATTTGTGTGAAAATAACATATATTGCCATACATAAAAAGAAAGTGGGTATTATTACTAAGTCACATCAAGGTCTTACCTGAGACGCTGTGGCTCCATCTAATGCCACCATTGTACTGCCACCAGAAACCATTCCATACTCAGGCCAGTTGACCGGCTGTTGGCCTGGGCTGCCTGGCCAACATACATATCTGTGTTTCTATTGCACAGTGAGTGTTGCTCTTGCAGAATGCACCATAGTGACATCTTCTACACAAACTAAACGGGTCCCAACAGTAGGCGAGCAAACATGGATTTGACAAACATGTTGTATTGGCTTCCTTTTATTTCTGTGTAATGTGCTGCCATCTCCTTCTTTCCTAGTTTTTAAGATGACACTGCCAGTACTAACCCCTGACTATGAGCTATGCCAAGGAACAAAATGTAGACCCTGGTTCCTTCTTGCCTAGTTACTCTAGGAAGAGTCCTAGTGGTTCCAGACATCTTCCATTTTATAATTCCTGAGACCACTGTACACCTGAGAACATGCTAAACTTTAGAACTGGTATAATGCCCTTGCCCTTATCAATGGCTTGCTACAAAGTTTCATCATGGAGGCCTACACTATGGCATCACAGCCAGAAGGTTCTGAATTTGAACCTTGTGGCTCACAAGGGCCTTTCTGTGTGGAGTTTGCATCTTCTCCCTAAGCATGCATGGGTTTTCTCCAGGTACTCTAGCTTCATCCCACAAGACATGTAGGTTAAGTGATGACTGGTGTGAATACAAGTGTGGTTGTCTGTCTCTAAGTGTCAGCTCCATAATAGACAGGCCTTTTTCCACAAATATCTGAAACGTTTCATAAAAATATCATCTCTGTCACAATTATGATGTTTACAAGAAGTATCTGCCCTTGCCATTTAGTAATTGTTCCCTCTATGAAATCATCTCTCAGATTAACCATTTTATATTAGTCATTTGATCTACTGTGTAGTTAATATAACAGTATTAATGAGTTCAGCTTTAATATTGAAATAAATGTATTTAAATAGATCTTTGGTTTGCTAATTATCAGCTGTTGCTCTTGAAAAATATTTAAGAATATTTCTTGTTGCGAAGTATCGATTGTTGATCATTTTAGTAAAGATTTGTAATTCTTCATTTGGAGACTTTAGTAGCTTCTCTTGGTGACACAAAGCAGAAGCCAAAAATTTCTCATCTTCATCAGGTTCATACAGATGAAGCATCAGGGGTGGTTTGTTTCTTTCACACTGTGTCACTGTCTATCCTCCCCTCCATTTATCCTCCAATTAACCCTTCTTCTGTTGCCTTCCTCCTTCTATTCTTCTGATAGTTTTATGTAATATTGTGCATGCCTGCATCATCTCCCTCACTCTCTCTCTGTCTTTTGCTATTATCAGCATCTCTATTCCTGTCCTGCTCAAACTCAGTCTGTCACATTATCTCTACTTTCACATTTCTCTTTTGCTGTATCATTCTTCCCTCTTCACTATTTTTATCCTATCATTTCGAGTCATCAGAAGCTGATGGCTGTTGTGTTCATTTGGGCACCTAAATTTGATTTTGTTTTAGTCTCAATCTACTGACAAAAAAGTGTGCAGTTTAGTCATATTTCAGTGTTTTGATTTTTTTAGTTTAGCTTCCTCATTTTTAATGTCTAACATCTGAGTATTTTGAGAATTTTGTGTAGTTACCATGGTCACAGGTGCTCTGTCTCTGTGTCAGCAATAGTCATGGCCAGAGGCATTATGTTTTGTCTGTCAGTATGTCTGTCTATCTTGCACACTATTGTGAACATGATACCTCAGGAACACCTTAAGAGGATTTCTTCAATCTTGGCACAAACATCCATTTGGACTCGAGGATGAAGTTAAGAGTTTTTGGTGGTCAAAGGACAAGATCACAGTGACCTCATGTCTGTCCCATTCCACTTCATTTGAATGACCGGTGGAGGCATACAGCTACAAAATGGTCATTTCAGTTCTTGTCTGTAATGAGGTTTGTGGAAAAGTCTTGTTTATTTGCTTACACAGTTTGTCCCTTAGCTCTAAATGGCAGTGAGTGATATAAGATAGATTCACACACATTTGGACTACGGTCCTGTTCACTGGGTTTATGAGAGAGAGAGAAAGAGAGAGAAAGCATGCAAGATCTTTTTGAATATAAGAAACCTCACAATGAGCACAGAATATCAAGGACCAGACTAAACAGAAAGGAACCACAATAAAAACTGAGCATTTCAGCATTGATGTGTTATGATTTAGTATCAAATTAAACAAAATAAACTAACATACTTTACACAGATATCAGCCTTATTTGATGATCACATTTGCAAGTGATCATGTGTGTTTGTCCATCTTTTCTTCACTGAATTATTCCATGCAGGTTCTGCATTGGCAGACATGGGCAGACCAGGGACCCTATCTTGTCAGCTGGGTCAGGCCTTGTCAAGCTGAGAGCCACTGTACCAGAGTCAAATTTCTCATGTCTAGCACACCTGGCCAATAAAGCTGATTCTGATTCTGGTTCCTAAAAGTTTCTCAGTAGAAATAACACCTGAAGGCATAAGGAGGTAGCTGCCTATAAATGCAGGTTGTTATTATTTGGGAGGTTTTGGGGTCTTATCCTGAATTAATAACATGTAAGAGGGAGGTCTGCAGGGAACTCTGTTCGCAGGTTCATGGTAGTCAATTACTGAGTGAATATCTCCACCAGAAAACCTTAAGCAGTGTTTGGAGCTTTAATATGTTTCAAAAATGCTACCTTAGTATGAGAGGTTAAGCTATGTTCCTTTATCCAGGGGTTAGCATATTGTGGTCTTCAAACACTCCTCTAAAAGGTAAAACAGCACAGAGATAAATTAGGTGGCAAGTAGTTAACAGATGATGACGTACTGGGATTATTTGACTGTGATTTCTCTTACAACAGGTAACAAACGGCAGGTAAAAGTGAAAATTGCTGCTGTCGTTACAATATTCTAATACTGGTTATGATTAGTACTGTTTGAGAGTGTTGTGCAGCATCTGGGCCACTCAGACCAGTTATTACAGATGAAACCATTCTTATTTTTTTTCTGGACCAATCCAGACAAGTTTAACTTGTTAACCATTGGAT